GGTCACAAATACTCAAATACTTTTTTTTTATTATTTAAAAATTGACTTATTTGAAATATAATACTACGTAATAAAAATCATTTAAATTTTGAATTATACAACTACGTCATTTAAATGATTTAATATTTAGTTAAAKAAATTAAATGTGTTATCAATCAACAAGTTTCTTGATTTTTCTTTCGGAAAAAATATTTATGAATGTAGAAAAAACTATTTCTGCTGCTATTTCGTTTACTGTAGATAAAATCGATGATGAGACCAAAGTTTATTGGCCATAGTAAATTGCAAGTGTGTTATTATAAGTTTTAATTTAGAGAAATTTCGCTACCTACTAACTATTATACTGTCAATGGTTCATTCTACGCTAAACCATTGCAAACATAATTAAATTTTTATGAATTATGATTCCCCCTTTTGTACTCTTTACTTGAACGAATGCATATGCATATGCCATTTATCGCATATCCTTTTCCTTTTCGATTGCTCCTCACTCTCTATAAAACGTTCTAATTTAATGTCTTCTCTCAATTCCTTGAACGTCCCCTTCAATCTCTCCTCTATTTTAAACTCCAATTCTGAAAAAGTTGTCACCATTATTTTTTCTTTTATCCAGGAGGTTAGCTTTGTCATTTGATTTTTTAATTATCTATTTTTGTATTATAATTTATATATATATATATATATTTTTTTTTAAATATAATTCGTTAATAATGTTAATTTTATTTGGTTTAAATGTAAGATATGCTTTAATTGATGAGCCAAATTTTTATAAAGGCTAATAAAAAAAATAAATATGCTTACGATAATACATACTAATTTCGTATATTATATTATTTTAATCTGTGGCTAAACGAAATAACCATAGTTTTCAACACATCATAGTATTGAGTTATAGGTATTAGATATTTTCAAAAAATACTATTACGTACCTATCTATTGACAAAAATTTGTAAAATTTTAAAAAACAATTTTGGCGCCCTCCTGARAATGGTGTTCTAGGAAACCACCCGAGTGRCTAAGGTGAYCCCTTACCCTCACGTCGTTCCTGMGTCGCTGCTAAAGGGTTCCTCATAATTTTTATTGAATGATTTGTCCAGGATTCATAATTCAGGCTGTAAGCCCATCCATGCCAWATAAACATTTTTYTCAAAGGTTGAATGATCACTGAGTGATGTCCACTACCTACTCGGTACTCCTAATACCTCTTTGACATAAGTACGTTAATTGATAATTTGTWTTGTGTAAACTTACCKCGAGACAAACGCCCTGATTATCTTTT